TATGAGTTCACACAAATGTGGAACATACAGGAAGCAAATGTATAAACTAAATAAACATATCAACAAAAGTTTCTGGACTATAAGACCATCTAGCCTAAAGGAATGGGTGAAGTAACTCAAGACAAAGGGTAAAGCTGCACAGTTAAGGACGGAATTGGAAATTTAGTGGTGGATTTAATACATTATATGCACCTGTTGATTTTCAATGATGCACAGCTGAAACTACTAATACATTCCTTTTTTCAAGGTATCTTTATTATTTGGAAAATTAATAACTCCACTATAAACCACAATGTTTATTATATTCATAATTTAAAAAGTACTAGCTAACTAGAAGATGTGCAAATGTTCACAAAACTACCCTGATAAAGCTGGATCTGTATTTTTAAGCAACTGAAACAACTTCCAAATCACATGATTGGTAATCCACAAACTGATATGACTTCTAAACTACAACATGATGACCACAGAAGTCTCTTCTTTACTTATTCTGGATGGAGGCCAATCTGGATCCATTAGTGGGGTCCTGGGGTCAGACTATTTGGCTATAAATCCCAGCTACTTCATCGAAGAATGACTCAGTCTAAACGTATTGTCTTCCTCTCAATACGTTGTGAGAGAGCAACAGTTCCTTATGGGACCATTGTGAGAAACAGAGGGGGGGGGTATTGAATATGACTCTCAAAACTGAGTCTGACTCAGAGGTAGGGCTCATTATGCTTAACATGGATACAATCTCCTGTGAACTATACAGCTGAGCTGGATGCTGTCCTTGGTGCTGAAATCACCAGATCTGCGTGCTGGGCGCTGTCCTTGGTGCTAAATATACAGCACATTATGACAGGGGCCGCCTTCTGCGTGTCAGACGCTGACCTTGGTGCTGAAAGTGCAGCCTGTACTGACAGGCAGCTCCTTCCTGTTTGGGTACTGGCCTTGGGTCCAAGGATGCAGCCTGCTTGACAGAGCCTCTACCCAGGGCACCTTAGTCTGCAGAGAGAGAAACAGAAGCATAAACACAGATAGGAATATCAGGCAATGATATTTCTGTTATGAAAGATAAAATTGGCAGGCACCGGTGGGGTAAAGCAGTGATCCTTTTAGAGAATGGCCAAGAAGGGGTCTTGAATGAGGTGAGCCCCAAGCCTGAGGCTTTTTAATGGAAACATCAAAGTATTTCAGATGATGGGGACTTCTGTGTGGACTTAAGAAAAATGAGCCAATGAAGAACCGAGGAAACCTCCTTTCCTGTGTTATTTTTTATTATAACTGTGTTATTTTTATTATAACTGTGTTATTTTTTATAATTTTTATTATAATTTTAATATAATTTTTATTATAACTGTGTTATTTTTTATTATAACTATATATTTTTAATATAACTGGAGACTACCACATTCCTTCCACAAAGATCCCTCAATGGAGTCACTAGAACAACCATGAAACATTAACAGACATAATAGACATAATTTAGATAAATGGCAACTTTCCAATGACCCTATGGCCTTATCTGGGCAGAAAAGTACACAAGATTGGGCTAGGTGACCCTCAGGCCTAAACTTAGCATCTATAGGCAGGTGGCACCAAATAACACTGAAGTCAAACACAGTAGCACAAGATTTTTCAGAGTTTTCTTTGTCCTTACCATCTCCAAATGGAGCCAGAGACAATAGAGATGTGGCTGACTCATGAACACTCTGCTCAACTCTGTAGATAAAAGTGATGGTCTCTACATAAGGAATTCAGGACTACCACTGAGTGTCCCTGAGGATGAAGCCCCAGATCTCAGCCTCTAGGGCGCAGAAACAAATCCATCAGATTGGAAATCATGCAGCATTTCTGGACATGCCCTACAGTGGGGGTCATTGTTCAGGAAAATGTCTGGGATCCCGTCTGGCAAAACAGCACTCAGCACCAATTTGGGGAGGAGCCTACCACCTCCCCCCACAAAAAGAAAGGTAGTCAAACAAACAAAAGATGTCACTGATTAACTTCTGTTTGATCCCAAACTACATCCTTCATTTCCACATATTTACATGACTTGAATTTTTAAAAAATATTTTCTGTCTGGTATTGAAATATCGAAAGTCTGTAACTGTATTCTGAACAACTTTGCAAACTATGGTGTTTTAATGAAGTATAAAAAATCAGTGTCTAATAATAAAACTGATATCACAGAGGCTACTTAGAAGAACACCCTCCATAGTCCTAAATGCAGGGGAGAATGCAGAAACTGTTCCTCATGCACAACCAGTGGAAATGTAAAGGATACAGCTGCTTTAAAGAACAGTGCAGTGGTTTCTACAAAAGTTAATACTATGATATAGTGAAACTGCATACTGTGGCAGTTAGCCAGGAGGAATTTAAAAATTACTTTTGTGAAAAAGTTCATACAGACAGCAAATAGTCCAAATAGTCACACAGTCCCAAATAGTCCAAAACCAGGGAAAACCTAGAAGTCCTTCAATAGGTAAATGGTTACACATGGAAAACAGGGATTCCGTGGTATCCCTCTACCATGGAATACTTCTTAGCTATAAAGAACCACCAATCAAAAAACATGGCAACTAAGATGACCATCCAGGGAGTGTGACAAGTGGAAAGAACCACCATCAAAGGTTCTAGAGTAGTCTCAATTATAGAACATGCTTGGGGTGATGAGTTCATGGGGTAGAATGCAGACTCAGAGCTGCCGGGGATTAAGAAGGGGATAGAGAAGTGATGACTGTGGCTATGAGAAAGTAGTATAGGAGATCACAGAAAAGCATCTTCATTATAGTGATGGCTGCACAACTATACATGGAACCACCTCGCACAGAACTCAATGTACACACAAGTACACAGAAAATGGATGAAACGTGAATAAGGTCTGTGGGCTGTATCAAATCCAACGGCCTTGTGATGACACTGCACTTTAGTTACACAAGCTGTCATGAGGGACAGGGTCTCTGTGGGTCACCCCTACCTCTACACCTGAGGGTTTGCAAGTAAAAAGTACAGAAACATGGACAACCAGGTAATGGAGAACAAATGAATCCCAGAAGCACTGTAAATTCAGAGAAGCAAATTCATAATTCAAAATTCCAAACTGAATTTGAGGAAGACAGTTCACTTTGATTGAAGATCATCAGCTTCTTCTTCAACAATTATTTCTAACATGACTGCCTCTCCTGGTGTGTGATCTGTCCCCGGGTTTCATTCCAATTTCTGTTTAATTGCAGTGCACATGAATAGGAAAGCCTACCTCTCTGGATGATACATCAGGGCAGGTAAGTGAATCAAGAAGGAATTGAGGAGGTTTATCCAAACAGGGCATGTATCTTTTTCTGAGCTCAACTGGTCTCTGCACTTGCTACTATCTGAACAAAGGGACCTCTACAAAGTGACTGCAGGTCTGCACTTACTTCCTTTCTTAGTGATGGTAAATCTTGTGAAAAACACATGCAAAGGTGTGTCAACATAGGCGCACACATGCACCTATGCATGGATCGCACATATGCACCTAAGCATAAATACACACACACACACACACACACACACACACACACACACACACACACACATACACTTCACATTCATACACAGACACATGCACTCATTTTTCCAGAGAAATATAGTTACTGTTGGAACCAATGAATGGCCAACAGTGCACTGCTGCTGATTTGCAGTAGGCCATTCCCACCACTTACTCTGCTCAGGCTATAAGAGACAAAGCTAAATCCTCTCTATGGGCATCTCTTTCTTCTTTTTCCTGTAGAACTTGATCTGACTTTACCAGTCGGGCTATGCCTAAAAAACTAACTACTGATTGGGAAGTCTCGAAATCATGGAATAAACCCACCAGAGCCCAGCCCACAGAGAGTCTCTGGAATCCTGCATGCCCTGCTAACCCCCAGTGTCGACCCCTGTCACTGCAGCTGGTGATGGGTGCTGGGATTAGCCACTAAGGCACAACTCCAAATGCCATCTGCTAAGCACATCCCTCATCCCTCTTCCATTCCTCTAGTAAAAATTAATTACTCCCTCCTCGGGGGCCCACGGCACACACTTCATAATAATTTTGGTGTCGGGCATGCCTGCCCTGTGTCTGGTTAGATGTTTACATCGAGTCTCCCCCAAGAGACTGCGACCTATGAGGCTGGGTCCCCTGAACTATCACCGAAGCATCCCTGGAGTCTGGCAGGTGTGTGCAGCAGGTGCTTAATAAAGATCTGTTGGATTAAATTTATTTAATTGATAGAGATGACTAAGTCAGTATTGACTCCATGGCTCCTCCTCTGACACTTGGAAGTGCTACTGTATTAAGTGAGACAATAATCACTGTTATTATTGTAAGCACCTATAACAATGCTGCGCTCCCAAAGTGGTTCTGGAGAGCACTGCTTTATTGGCTTGCCCAGGCTTCAACAACTACAGTGATGGGCAGTGAATCATCTGTGGAAGGCCACCCCTGGGTTCCCTTGGCGAACCAAGCGAATCTTCCATCACAGCCAGGGGGCAACGAGAAGCCTGAAGAACGGTGTTGTCTTCTCCCTGACATGGGCAGAAACAAACCCAAGGATAGGGACGTGGAAAGGGATTTGGAGGTATGGACTACACACAATGCATCCACATTTAGTCTACAAGACAGTGTGACTGCACCCGAGGTTACACGTAACTTATAAGAGAGTCGAGTAAAGGTAAAATTTTCAAAGTGAAAAAGCAATGTGGAACAGAAGCCCCACCCAGTGCCTGGTTCTATCATCCTGGCAAGATAAATGAGCAACACTGCCTTTAGGCAAAAAGCAACCAATATCTTTCAGTGTGAGTATGGTGGGGGTTTCACATGTGTTGAAGCTAGCAAACAACTGTGACCAAAACGAGAATGCACGCGAGCCATCCACACCCCCTCTTCAGGAAAGGAGAGCTCTTCAGTGCACATGGATCTGCAGGAAGCACGTGCACAACGAGCATCATTGAACCGGCAGCCCTGTGCTGGATGGATGAAATACGCAGAACCCTACCAAGCCATGTTGCCGTGGGCTGTGTTGTCAAGGTGACAGAGGAGCTCCAAGGTGTGTGCGGTGCTTGAGGAATCATCCGGGGACTCATGGCTGCCTGGTTCCAATTCCTTCGGCATCCTCCACACAGCTGCACATGTCAGGACTTTGCTGTCTGAAGCTAAGCAACAGAGGAGAGTGTCAACAGGGCGTGGGACACGCCACACTCGACAGACAGTGCACCCACATTCACACACATGCAGAGGCATGGGACATCTGCTACTTAAAATATTTAAACTGCAGAGAGAGAGAGAGAGAGAGAGAGAATGAGAAAGAGAGCAAAAAGAGGCAAAAGCCCAGAACCAGCAAGCAAAATAGATTTGACTCACACAGCAGCCGCTTAGACCCACTAGCTACTTGCTTGCTTAAAACCATCTTCCTGTTACAGAAGAAAATTTGATTTCCTTGAAATCGATTTCCTTTTGATTTCCTTCAACAGTTCCTCAAAATTAGGAGAAAATAGGTAGTGCTTGGGTGGGGGGCACTAAAGATATAAAACCACAAATGCAGCTCGTGTCTAAGATGGGTATTAAAAGGGTTTTCCCCTCCTGAGTTTTGAGGGCAACTGACACAGGTACAACGCTTTCTGTGCAGTACTCCATTTGGAAACAGTGTCCTCAGTGTCATAAGACCCCAGTGCACTGGAAGTGAGAAATGTGGGGGAGTCGGGGGACTATGGCTGAGCCCCCTGTATTAATATGTTCTGTAAATTGGTACACCTGGCGGCTAGCAGTGCAGGCCTATTAATGTCTTCCACTGCACCATGTGGCATAGCATCTGCTACTAACACAGGTATCCTCACACCCTCCCCTGGCAACTGCTTGGTACCCCACTCTCAGTCCTGACACTTTTAATTCTGTGTATTCTTATGGCACCATGAAAAGCCACTTTGAGGCTAAAGGAATGAAACTCACACAAGACAGAATGGGGCCACCTGTATTCTGGAACATGCCAGCCTCTTTTTCTTTGCTGCTGTAGAAATTATTTTTCTAAGACAAGTGCCCTCCCCGTCAGAATATTAGCACTGTAGCACTGTCCTCCCGTTGTTCATCAATTTGCTCCACTAGGACCAGTAACATCTCCATTGTGAGACTTGTTACTGCGTTTGGCATATCAAATACGTCACTGGTAGCTTGCCAGGCTTTGCCATGCGGGTGAGATACTCCCAGTAGCTTGCCGGGCTCTCTGAGAGGGGCAGAGGAATCGAACCCGGGTCGTCCCGGGTGGCCGTGTGCAAGGCAAAAGCCCTACCCGCTATACTACACTCCAGCCCATCAGAATATTATATGATAAAAATTTTATCACAAAAATAATTTTTCAATAAAAAAATTAAAAGATTCACTACACAAACCTTTCTAAATTTGCTTTCGTTTAGTTCTAAACTACATGTGTGTATATCTTCCCCCTTTGAAGACTGCCTTTAATAAACAGCGACAAAATGATGACCAGGTTTCAACATTAAATCATCAATTTATGCAAATAAGAAAAGGACTGTTAGAAGGAAAAATAACACTTCATAAGTAGTATTTCCTGCCAAGAAAAAAAGCAGGAGAGGAAGCCATACATTACACTTCAAAACATACTACTTCCTATTATGTACAATGATCCTTCCTCTAAATACCAAACTGATCAACAAAGATATACAGCAGTGAACATAAATAGTTCAATGCCTTGCTGTGCTAATATTATAATTACTACCATTACTTCCCATTATTATGAAATAACAAGTAGAAGAATCAAAATTTCAGTCAAAATTTTCTGATTCTAAACTAAAAGTTTCTCATTTCATATAACCAGCTGGCTCAAAAAAAGTTATAGCTTTTAAAAAAGAATAATTTATGTTATATATGTGTGTGTATGTACACATAATGCTAAATGTTCCATGTTTAACTATGAAAATATAATGGGCAAAAGGCTTCTGTCGACATGAAAAAAATTAACTTACAGTCTTCTTATAAAGCTATGAAATTGGCAATGCACTACTGAAAATAAGCAAATAATGAGAGAGGAAGTTGGCAGTTTTGAGTTGGAAAGGAAAATGAAAGCCTGAAACATTCACCCAATAGAGGCATAGATTAATCTTGCTAAATAAGGAAATAAAAAAGGAAAATTTCCTATCTGAAAAGTTATGGGATTAATAACAACATAAGAACTAAATTGTGGTTGATTATAAAATGACTGTAACACATAAATGATGGAAGGTAGGTAAAATAGCTAATCCATGGAGGAAATGACTAGTAGCAGATTACCCATAAAAAAAAACCTGCTTTGTTGAAAAATTTTGTTCAGGTGTCAGGGAAAGAATTATTTTCTTGTTACTGTGTGTTTGACCACTCCTCAATCATTTGCTCTTACCTTTCAACAAAATAGAGGGTACCATGAAGTAATATACAATTACCAACAAGCTTCCTCTCTTCAAAGCAGACACATACATGGCATAAATTAGTAAGCTGTACATCTAAATTTCTAAGATTCTCCGTTCATTGTATACTGTTAACTGACCAGACAAGAGTCCAATAACTTGAGAGAAAAAGCAAAGAGGGAACATTCAGGAAACCAACTAAGTGAAGAGGAACTCACCTCAATTTTCATTCCATTTAAAACCCTCTTAATATAATAAGAGCTTTGGGGCTCTATTTTCTTTGTCATGACATAAGCCCACAAGGACAGTGAAAAGAACAATAAGAATGTAGAAGCTGGGAAGCAGATTCACGGTGCCAAGAGATGCAGACACAGGAATACAGAATTCTAAGGCACTAGCAGGTAAGTGGGAAAGCAGCTTTATTTCACTCCCTAAGAAGATGCTGAGGTTGAAGCATTAGGGGAGAAGTGAGAATAAATGAGAGAAGAAATGAACATAAAAAGGAAAATGGAAACTCCATAGAAATGCCTCCAGACCCCGAGCCAGGTTGTTTCAGCCAGGACAACCTGGAGAGGGTCTGGCGGAGAGGTCCCTTTCCCACCCCAGGAGCCAGCCCTGGCAGCCTTCATAACTCAACCACAGTCATGCTCATGGCCACTCTCCACACGCTCAGAAAAATTGTGCAGCCACAACATCTCATACTTTTACACCAATGATATATCAAGAGTAGCACGCCACATTTGATGGGGTTTGGAGCAGAAGGCAACCAATCTTAGGGGGAAATATCTATTTATACAGATACATATAAGCACACAAGGCTCAACCTCCAACAACATGTTACTAATCTCTTACAGAACAGCTTAATGGCTCCGGGATGAATACAACAATCTTCACACACTTTCCTCTTAAGTAATCATTTTTGGATCATTTTTAGTGGACTATTCATAAGAAGCAATAGAAATAAATTATTTCAGTTCTGCTTTGGGGGCAGGGTTTGGGGTTTGGGATGGAAACATATGAAATATGGTGGTGGGAAGGTATAATGGTGGTGGGGTTTGGGGTTTGAATACCAAACATAATCAAATACTGTGAACAACTTTATAAAAATAAAATAAAATTTAAAGAAAAGAAACAAAACAGAGGGAAAGTGAATTGACTGTTTTTTCCAAAAACAGGTAATCAATACCGAGAATAAAAAGATGATTATCACTTCAGATCATATAACCATTAAAAACATCATATGAAGATAGTGTGATTTATATTAAAAATATTTCAAATTCTGATAAAATGGAACATTACTAGAAAAATTTAAAATTAATAGAACTGAGGGGCCAGGGATGTGAGTCAACTGGTAGAGGACCTGCTTGCCTTCACATGCAAGGCCCTGGGCCCAGCCCTTGGCACTACATGTTCCCACCCCAGACACCCAAGACTGACCATGGCAGGCCCCAAACACTGTCAGGTATGGCCTCCACAAGTGACTTTTTAGAAAAGAAATAAAAATTTAAACTAAAAGAATTTTTTTAAACTACTAGTTTTATTTTTACTTATCTACTAAATTGACTCTAATATAAAAACTTCAAGGACTCTAAACTTAAAAGAGAACACCTGACTTAGAAGACTATTCCTTTGAAACTTTCCAAGCATTTACAGAAAAATAACACTCACATAAAACTCTTCAAGCAAAAAAATGGGAATTATTCCCTGACAACAAATCTGAAAAGTATATTAAAGGGGGGGAATAATTATAGACTGTTTGTTTCATGAATGTAGATCTCAAACAAGACAGAAGTGAATCTAACTATGTATAAAAAAAAGTTAAGTTTATTATGAGCATATAAGGTTCTTTACTATTTGAAAATCAGACAATATAATTCAGCACTTAAACTAAAAAAAATATACATAAGGTAAAGGTAAAAGGTAAAGGCCCTCCCGTTGATCGTCGATTTGCTCGAGCGGGCCCAGTAACGTCTCCATTGGAGACTTTGTTGTTACTGTGTCTGGCATATCGAATACTCTCGGTAGCTTGCCAGGCTCTCTGAGAGGGGCGGAGGAATCGAACTCGGGTCGGCCAATAAGATCATCACAAAAAATAGTTTTATAATTCAAAGCCTATTTCTGATAATACTTTTAGCAGATGAAACAAAGCCTATTTCTGATAATACTTTTAGCAGATAAAAAATGTTCTGATAAATATACCAGGAAATAAAAGGGGAAAAACAGAAGTAAAAAAGAGAACAAACAAGACTCTTAAGATAATCTCAAAAGTTCAAGGAGAAATATTAATTGCTTCCCCCAAAGCAAAGAATAAGACAAAAATGTGTACCACTTGAGCTAACTCTATACCAGCAGTACCAATCGCTTCAGTATGGAGAGAAAAAATGAAATTTAAGTATAAGCAAAGAAACAAAACTATATTTGCGATGGTTATATTCATAGCATTAAAAAGAATCTGCTGGCTGAAGGAATCAGTCGGGATGGGAGATGTGTGCAGAAAGTAGATAAAGGATCAAACATGATAACCTCTCAGGGTCTGAATTGCAAACCATAATGCTCAAAAATAGAGAGAGATTATGGGGAATCATGTCTGCCATGGAGGCAGAGAAGGGGTGGGAAAGAGGGGTTATATCGGGGATATTGGGGAATGTGCACTGGTGGAGGGATGGGTGTTTGATCATTGTGTGATTGTAACCCAAACATGAAAGCTTATAACTAAAAAAAAGAATCTGCATGATACTATTAGAAATGAAACTATATTT